GCTCTGGGACTCCACCCTGCGCGAAGGGTGCTTTGTAAATGCAAATTGGTGGAGTCCTGTAGCTCAGTGGTTAGAGACCAAGCAAGAGACCTGGGTTCAATTCCAGGCAGGGCAAAACCTTGGGCAATTTTCCTTACTCCACACGCCTAATAATAATCCCTCAAGAAGAAAAAACACAAAACCAATAATAAATTGGTCACTTCAATCCACGGTTGTTTATGGGGACGCTGCTGTGCGCAATTGGCTGCCGTGTTTCGCCCACAAATATATTGTCAATTCACGTTACAGTCTATTCTGTGAAGCGCTTTGAGACGTCTCGAGGACATGTTAAGGCGCTGTATCAGATGCAAGAATAATAATTATTATTATTATTATGAATGACGGGTCCATTTGCGTCAGTAGGGTGTGTTAGCTATAGAGTGGGCGCAACACCTGCTCGAGGTTTTGGGTGAATTTAAAGATTTAATTTTTCTGTAACTTTTATGATTGTGTTTTCACGAAAGCGTTTCCAGAGTTCAAAAGCAATACGAAAGTAGAGTTGCGTTTCCTGTGTCCTCCTCGCCCTGTAGGCAGGTGTTTTGAGTTGTAAGCTGCTGTGATCACAGGGTAATTGACACTGCCCTCTTTGAAGTTTGAACTCTTTTAACGCTTAGATTGCCTGTGGTTTTCGAGCCACTCGGCTTTAAACCACCCGGGAATCTCTTGGGGGAGGGAGGAGTCCTTGGGAAAAGGAGAAGGTTTGTTGAAAGGCACCTGCGGCTTCTGTTTGGAAGTGCTCTCCCACCTCAAGACGGGTTGATGGTTGATCCATTGTGTTAGTGGTGCTGTGAGATGATTTCATGCTGTGGAGACTTATTTCCTCACCCTCCCACTCCGGAAGGTGTAAAATTACTCCTGCCTCCTGAGTCAGAAGGTTTTGGGTCCTTGCCCCTCATCGGGACTTGAAGTCCTATTAGTCTAAGCTGACCCTCTAGTGCAGTACTGGGGGGAGTGGGGGTTGGGGTGGGGTTGCTGTCCTCCTGATGGGACGTTAAACCGAGATCCTCGGGTGGACATTAACGACCACATGGCTGCTACTGGAAAAGAGAAAGGAGTTTCCTCTGGTGTCCTGGCCAACAATTCCACATGGTTAACGTTTGCCACCTACAGTGTGCGTGAGCGTTTTCATATACATTCTGCGTCACCAGCTGCGTGTAAACAAATCTTTATCCAGTCCATTAGACGATGCATGATTTATTTACCAGCCGTACTACGAAATGTTTCTATAGGCCTTCTCTCTGCCGTGGCCACTCTGTGGCTTTAGATAAGTGCTCTTTTCCCAATACCCTTTTTATATTCTCTTCAAATATTTATCCGATTACCGTATCAGATGTTGTGGTCTGCTTTGTGCAAAGCAAATGTAACCGAAAGGGCTGCTGATAAAACAGCACGGATCATTCTCATACCCGCCTTTTGCTAAGAATGTAGTAATGGTATTGATCTGGTATTTATGAGGGTGGAGGTCTGTTCGGTAGGTTTGGAATGCGAGTTTGCGCACTAGTCAGCGTTGCTAAGTGCATTTACTCTGGTTTCAAACTGTCTGTCAGTGACCTAACAGAATAGCTGTAACTGAACGCCTTGGTGCTTGTGAATCGCATCTTACAAAAGGGAATAAATTCTTTATGGTGTTTCCCTGTGTGCTCGATAGCAGAAAATGAAAGGTTTGGAAGTGTGACTGAGCTGTCATTGAGGTCTCTGCTATGGTTTCTTCTCTTACCCTTCCTCCTGTCTGCCTTCACCCAGTTCTGTAGGGTTGACTTCCACACAACAACAAGATTTCATTTATAGAGCGCCTTTCACGTCGGGAGGACGTCCCAGTTGAGTCGGGACCCGAGCAGGGGGGAAATGGTCAGGGTGAGGAGGGAAGGGAGGGAGCGAGGAGGGGGAAATGGTCAGGGTGAGGGGGGAGGGAAGGGAAGGAGGGGGGAAATGGTCAGGGTGAGCGGAGGGAGGGGGGAAATGGTCAGGGTGAGGGGAGGGAAGGGAGGGTGCGAGGAGTCGAGAGGGGAGCTGAAGGCTGAAGGTCAAAGAGAAAGGTCTTGAGACCGGCCTTGAAGGAGGAAAGGGAGGAGGCGGCGAAGGCACTGGGGGATAGAGTTCCAGAGCCTCGGGGCTGAGAGGCTGAAGGCCCGACCACCGATGGTAGGGCGGTTGGGGCGGGGGATGTGGAGCAGACCGGAGCCAGAGGAACGGAGGGTACGAGCGGGTAGGTAGGGGGATAGTAGGTCGGAGAGGTAATAATAATAATAATCCTTACATTTGATATAGCGCTTTTCACGTCGGGAGGACGTCCCAAAGCGCTTCACAGAACACACTGTAAAGTGAATTGACTGTATATTTGTGGGCGAACGCGGCAGCCAATTGCGCAAAGCAATGTCCCACAAACAGTCGTGGATTGAAAATGACCAATTTATTATTGTTTTTGGTTCTGGAGGGATTATTATTAGGCTCTGTGTGGAGTAAGGAAACTTGCCCAAGGTTTCGCCCTCTGCCTGGAATTGAACTCAGGTCTCTCACTTGCAAAGCGAGTGCTCAACCATTGAGCTACAGGACTCAACGTAGGAGGGAGCGAGGCCGTGAATGGCCTTGTAGGTGAGGATGAGGATCTTGGATTCGATCCTCTGGGGGATGGGGAGCCACTACACTGTTTGGAGTTTGGATCCAGTACTGTTGCACAGGTAGGAACAGGAGTAGGCCATTCAGCCCCTCGAGTCTGTTCCGCCATTCTGTTAGATCATGGCAGGTCTGCATACTCCCCAAATTCTCTTCAGTGGTTCCTTCCCTCGTCACCCAAAAACATCACCTCGAGACTTGAGCCCTGCACCTCAGATTCTGCAAGGTTTCAAATTCATGAGCTTCAGTCTGCCTTCAAGGTTTCAGTTGCGTTCACCATTTACCTTTAAAAATACATAGGAACCCAGTGCAGGAATGGGCCATTCCAAAGTTTAAAAGAAACACCACACACCAGCACTTTTCCTCTCGTACACCTCAGTCGATTTGATCGTCATACAATAGCTGTCTCGTTCCCTTACTGACGCAATCTTCCCTGCGTCATCCATTCCACATTTTTATTTAAAAGGTTCACATAATTGTCTGTGCCCTTTGTAAAGTAAATTTGTACTCTCTGTTCTTTCCTCTTCCCAGTTTGTTTGCGCCTCCTTATTAAATGAGGCTTTAGTTCATCTGTACCACTTAGCATCTTATGCATACGTTCTGCCCCCAAGTCTTCTCTTCTCCCCGGAGTTCACTGTCACTTAGGGACACGTTTTACAGCCGTCAATGTGGCTGCTCTTCGTAATGTAATGTCCGCCTGTACGCTAGGTGTGAAGTAGGCCAGTACTGTGTACAGTGTTAGGGTTGTACATAAATCTGCTCCCAGGGTTCTGCCAAGGAATGCTTTTACCCTTGCCAACTCGCGCGTGTGTGTGTGTGTGTGTTGGTGAGCGTGCGCTCTGTTAATATCACAGCCGGCATTAAGCCACTCTAAACTTGTCCACTCTGTGTGATTGCCATGAAGATTAGATCTCTCTCGCTGCTTCCCCCCCCCCACCCCCCCCCACCCATCCCCACATGTTGGCTAACTCGTCTCGGGTTTCCACATTTTTTTTACCGAGACCCTTGGTTGCAACACGAAACTCCGCTCGCCTGATACTCAAGGCAGCCACGTTACCTACCACTACAGTCACGGCGCTTCACAGAAAACTATGAAGCATTTTAAGACGTTTCAGTGTGATAAGGCACTGTATTAAGTGCAAGGATTTTATTATTATTATAACTCTGATCTCAGCACAGCGTCTTAAAATAGCCCGCGCCCAGAATATGGACAGCTGTTGATTGCAGTTGCTCCCGGTTGTAAAAATAACCTTTCACCACCCATTTCCCCTCCCCCATGTCTATCTCTGTATGCTCTGAAGTCTCCGTCTAAGTGTGTGTATGTGGAGGAAATCAATATTTCTGTCTTTTTTTCCATCTCTGTGGAATGAAGGTGACATATCTCCTTCACTCACAGGATCCAAGGCCACTTGTACTACCCACTTGGAGGTGCTGTTCCCTCTGTTTAATGTAGTATTTATTGAATAGAGTCTCTGCCATAAACTAAACTCAAAAGGACTCTTATGAATGCTTGAGTTTTGAAACGAAAGGGTTGCGGATTCTAAGTCACTGTTGGAAAAGTTCCTCCTGTACCCTAGCCAACAAGTCCCCAGATAAATGGGTCGTTCATGCTTGCGCGTGGGTCTTTTCTATGCTCAAAATAGCTACCATTTACCTAGAAATGTCGATCACTACACTTGATAATTCACTGTGAAGCAAAGACTTTGCTCCGTTTCACGTCGCATAACTGCAGAGGCAAACGCAAGGACTGTTTGCCAACCAATTAAATTGAAACGCGTTTATTTTATGTTTTAGTTTATAATTCGAGCCGCGGCTGTACAGTATCAATCTCTTCACAATTCTGATTGGTGTTAGAGAGGGAGAGAGAGAGTGAGACAGGAGGCTGCTAAGAAGTGAGGCAAACTTTGGGGTCTGATAAGCCGCTGAGTGCCTGGTTTTGTGTCGTGGTAGCAGCTTGGCTCAGTTGGTAGCATCTCTCGCTGCTTAGTCAGAGGTCGTCGCTCTGCCTGGGTTTACGCTCAAAGTATTAGGGGGAGAGTCGCGTGGCTTGAGGTGTCATGGTTGGGATGAGACGTTAAAACCGAGGTCCTGTCTGTGCCTGTTCATGTGGTTGTCAAAGCTCCCATGGCACCATTTGAAAAGAAAAGGGCGTTTCTAGCCGGTGCCTTGGCAAACAATGCCGCCAGATAAAAACCCAGTCGTTCACCGTGTGGTCGTCTGTGCAGGCGCAAATCGACCGCCGCGTTCGCTCGCAAAACAGTCGCTGCACGATGCGCAAGGCGCTGCCAATGCAAGGATTGTTACACCCTGTCCGCGAAACTGCATTCGTTTCCTTTCTCTCTTTTCAGGTGCTTGTACGCGTGGCAAGGCCAGTTCTGTGACGAGTGCGTTCCGTACCCTGGTTGCGTGCACGGCACCTGCGTGAATCCCTGGCAGTGTAACTGCGAGACCAACTGGGGCGGCTTGCTGTGCGACAAAGGTAGCCAGAATCACCTGCGCTTTGGCAACTGCGCAGAAAACGTGGGTCTTCCAGCGTTTGATGTGTTAAGGCAGGAGCGCTGATAAGTGTTGGGATTCAGCAAACTGTACCTTTCTTATCCGGGGGGGGTGGGGGCTGTTCGTCAGGGAGGGAGCTAGATAAAAAGTATGGTGGATTTGAGAGCATGGGATGGAACCCTTATTGGGGTTGCAGGGTGTGCAGGGTGGGGGGGAAGAGGGCTTGAGCCCGTTGGACTTAGGTGAGGTTATGCTTTTTTAAGCTCTCCTCTCGGGATGTGGGAAACGCTGACAGAGCCACTATTTATTCGTTGTTCCTCCCTGGTTCTCACGAGAAGGTAGCAGGGTGGGTGGGGGTGGGGGCAGCCTGCTCAAGCCTCTACATCCCTTGTGGTCACAGTGGGGTGGGTTGGTAATTCCAACGACGACGAAGGGTAGGAACATGGTTAGATCCCAATGAGGATGGGGGACTGACTTGGATAGAGCCTCCTCCGTGACACAGTGCCTTGAAGCTCACGGTGAGAGCCGCCTTGAGACTGCACCAGTGACAAGTCACTACTTGTAGCTCGCAGACGAGAGAGCCTGGTGATCAGTGTCTAGTGTCTCACCCTCAGGCTGTAGGACGTAGGCTTTGTGTTGGCTCCTTTAACTCACACGATCGCTCCCCTGCAGACCTGAACTACTGTGGGACCCACCACCCGTGCATCAACGGAGGCACCTGCATGAACACTGAACCGGATGAATACCATTGCGTGTGTTCTGAAGGCTACTCTGGCAAGACATGTCAGATTGGTAGGTGCCAAAAAGTGTAACTTGTATAATAACCATGACATATTTCAGCTTTGGATGAAGAAGACCCTTTATAGACGGATAGAAAGGGTGGGGGGGGGAGTGGTGATGGTCGGGTAGAGGAAAGGAGATGTCGAGGGTAGGGACATGGTTAGCTGAAGGCTTAGCCACCAATGTGCCGTTGACCTGAATTTGCCAAGCAGAGGGTTGAGTAGTAGAAGAGGATAGATGACAGGGATAGGGGGGTGTTAGGGCACAAGGGGCTTCATAGACTTGATCGAGGACCTTGAAATGAATCCATTGGGAGAAGGGGAGCCATTGGAGACTAGAGTTTGGAGCATGTGAGATGCGTGCAACAACAACAACCACTTATGTTTGTCTATCGCCTTTCACATCGGGAGGACCTCCAGGTGCAGTGGAGTTCGTGGATGGTGGAACGAGGGAGTTGGGAGAGAGCCTCCCTCCTGACGTATAGTTGTATGGTTTCTAAACGAGTCTGGCCTTAACCCATAATCCATTCCATGTCTTGATCTCCTCCCCCGCCCCACCCACCCTCCCCCCGTACGTGTGTGTAAGGAAATAGATGGTTTCACAATGGCGCAGTCTGATCCCGGCTGTTTGTGGTGTGTGTATGAAGCAATCGGGCACAGCTCCCTTGGCTCAAGTCTGCCCACAGTCCAGTGGTACTGGGGCCAATTGTACTGTTCTCTCCGTTGGCCTGTGTGTGAGAGAGAGAGGCTGAGCTTTACCCCAGGGTGAGGTATTGACTTCTCGCCCATGTGGAGGGCGATACAGTGATATATAAAGGCAAGTTGTTGCGTGGCTCAGCTCTGTGCCGTGGGATGAATCTGTAACGCAGCTCAGGTTGTATTCACGATTTCTCAACTATGAACCCCTATAGAGTTAAAGAGCTCTTTCGAACGGAATTGGGCAGCTGAGGAGCGAGCCATCGTGACTCTTAACTAATTGGTCTGATGTGGGGTTGGCGGGCGTGTACTGCCTGCTGTTCTTACTGTGTGTGTGTGTGTATGTGTGTGTAACCCACTGTATCTGTTTCCAGCTGAGCACGCCTGTGTCTCCAATCCTTGTGCAAATGGGGGCACTTGCCATGAGGTGCCGTCAGGCTTCGAGTGTCACTGTCCTTCAGGCTGGAACGGGACCACGTGTGCTAACAGTAAGTAACCCTCTTACAACGTGGCTAGTTAATGGCATCGGTGGCTAATAATAAATAAATAATCCTTGCATTTGATACAGCGGCTTATCACTTCTTCGAGACGTCTCAAAGCGCTTCGCAGGATACACTGTAAAGTGGATTGACCGTGTATTCTGAGGGCGAAAAGCAGCAGCCAATTGCTCACAGCCGTGGATTGAAGTGACCAATTTATTATTATTTTTTTCTTGAGGGATTATTATCAGGCGTATGGAGTAAGGAAACTTGCCCAAGGTTTCACCCTGGCCTGCCGGGAATCGAACCCGGTCCTCTTGCTCGCGAGGCCAGTGCTCTATCCACTGAGCTACAGGACTCCACGCTGTAATGTGGTTACAGCGAGGCTAGCCAATACCAAATGGTTCAAAATAAATGAACGATAATAATTCGGTGACTCAATCCACGACTGTTTGTTGGACCCTGCTGTGCGCAATTAATTGGCTGCCGTGTCTCGCCCACAAAATATACAGTCACTGCACTTTACATTATATTCTGCGAATCGCTTTGAGACGTCTCGAAGACATGATAAGGCGCTGTATCGAATGCAGGGATTATTATTATCGCCGGTGAGTGATGTGGTTGCAGGGAACCTAGATTGAGCCTACAGTTGGTCGGTAACCTATTTACAGCTACACCAGTCAATGGATGAGCAGAGCGAGCGATGGCTTGTGAAGTGGGAACGAGCTGTTGAGAGGATGGACAGGGCCACATGACTGTACGCTGGCAATGCTGTGAATGTGCATACGATTCATTCCTATGTAGTGTTTTCCCCCGACGCACAGGCTGCTGTGCACGATCGGGTTACTCTACACAATCTGTCGTCCTCTCTATGTTGCTCTGGCTTTCAGGCTTACCTGAAAGTACACATGTCACCAAGCGGCACAACGGGGAGAGAGACTTCAATCTCTGACCTGACCTCTGTGGAGACAACCCCAACCCACACTCTATACTCAGCAACTTTACAACCGCAGAAGTGGATGTGGGGACTCGCGCTGCGGTGTTTAAAACCTTGCATTTGGTATCACGTTGTCGAGATGTCTCAACAACAACAAAATAACATTTGTGTAGCGCCTTTCACGTTGGGAGGACGTCCCAAGGCGGCTTTCCACGTAGCTAATACCTGCACCGCAGAGTAACTGCCAATCGAAAGCTTTGAGGCATTGCAACGTGATCGGGCGTTAGATCAAGGATAATGTTCTAATCCGATTCCCAGGCTGAGAATATCTGTGATTCAGATGCACTCGATTGAAGCAATAATAATGCGCTCTCTCTCTCTCTCTCTTTCTCTCTCTAGATATAAATGACTGTGCCTCGAGCCCCTGTGCTCATGGTGGGACTTGTATTGATCGAGTTAATGGCTTTGAATGCATCTGCCCACAGCAGTGGGCCGGGAAGACATGCCAGCTTGGTAAGGGGATGGAGTGGGGGGTGGTACACATTATGACCGGTGAGTAGGGTGAGACTCGATGCCCACGTCGGAGGGAATGTTAGGTCAGAGCAGGAAGGATTGCACAATGTGGATGCAACTGTTTCAGAACAGGAAGGCTACAAAAGGGAAGGCTCACCAGGTCAGGTAGCATCTACCGAGATGAGGAAAGTGGGTTAACGTTTTGAGTCCACGACCTTTTTGCTCAGATGAAAGGTCACCAAAATGTGGCCCCTTTTAGAATCCTCCTCTTCAGATACCTTCCCAATGTGAAGGATTATTATAGCGTAATATTGATCCAAAACATTCCACTTTCTGATCGCCCTCTGTGTAAAATTCCTCCAGCTGTCCCTCCACTTTTCACAGATTCTGAGGTAGGGGGTCGAAAGAAAATGCTAGCATCCCCACCCTGGACGGTTTTCTATCTCAGGATTTAGATGGTTTTATTGCTCCAGGAAAATGTCGAGTGTTGCGAAAGTGTCAAGAATGTAGTTGGCTGAGGGCATCGACTCCCAGGCTCGTCACAGCTTGTTGGAGTGTGGGTAGACGGTGGATTTGGAAGAAACTTAGTCTTGCTTTGATCTGACAGCGGTGGTGAGGTTTTTATGGTGAGTCCCATGGTAGCTCGGTGGTCAGAGCTCTTGCCTCGCAAGCGAGAGGACCTGGGTTTGATTCCCGGCGGGGCGAAACATTGGGCAAGTTTTCTTACTCCACACGCCTCGGTTTAGCTAGCAGTAGGTACGAACATGGTTGTTAGTCGATTGGCGGATCGCTTTTTCGGGGGTAATAATCCCTTCCAAAAATAATAATAATTTGGTCACTTCAACCCATGGCTGTTTGTGGGACGCTGCTATGTGCAATTGGCTGCCGCGTTTCGCCCAAAATATACAGTCAATTCACTTCACAGTGTATCCTGTGAAGCGCTTTGAGACGTCTCGAAGACGTGATAAGGCGCTGTATCTCAACTGCAAGGACTATTGTTATTATGGCAATTCTCTGTGTTTCCTTGAAATGTTGTTCAATGCCTGTTGTGGCGATTTACTGCTCTAAATAAATAAAACTGAAGGCTGATCAGCAGCCTGGCTGGAAAGGAAGTGGAATGGGTATATTAGATGTGAATATTAATACACAATAACAGGTGTAACAGACTGCACAATAAATCTGGAGTGTGTTTTCGTTGCATGGGAGCTTGTTATGCGGCGACGCCTGTGCTGTGGTGTGGGGACAGAGATAATTAATTTGCTTGTGTGGAACAAAGCTTGATGTTACATTTGTGACTGTAACCCTGCACAAACCCCCCCCCCCCCCCACCACCACCCCCCACTCCTCATCCCCATTCGTGGAGTCCTGTAGCACAAGCGAGAGGACCTGGGTTCGATTCCCAGGCAGGGGGGGCGAAACGTTGGGCAAGTTTCCTTACTCCACACGCCACTGTTTGCCCAGCAGTCGGTAGGAACCCACTTGTTAGTCGATTGGCGGCTCACTTTCTGGGGGTAATAATCCCTTCAAAATTAACTAAATAAATAAATAATTTGGTCACTTCAGTCCACGACTGTTTGTGTGCGCAATTGGCTGCCGCGCTTCACCCACCAAAACACACAGCCAATTCACTTTACCGTACATCCTGTGAAGCGCTTTGAGACGTCTCAAAGACGTGATAAGGAGCTGCATCAAAATGTCACGGATTATTATTGCCATGAGTTATTTTTTCAGTTATTTATCCAATTCCCTTCTAATACACGGGTGTGTATTTGGGGTCTTTTCCAAGCTCGCATGCTTTATAAGTTGCTTACTGTGTGTGTCTGTCTGTCTCTTTCTGGGTGTTTCACAGATGCTAATGAGTGTGAGGGGCACCCTTGCGTAAGTGCTTACTCTTGCAGAAATTTGATTGGAGGATATTATTGCGACTGCATTCCTGGATGGTCTGGCCAGAACTGTGACGTCCGTCAGTATTCCCTCTTTGTCCCAATTTGTCTTTTTCTTTTTTTTTGCAATGTATTAATTTTGACGTGTTTGTTGCATGAATAAGTCGCACTTTTACTTTAAAAGTCGGCCCTTGTTTTGTAGCGGTGTGCATGTTTGCGGGTTAACCACTGCTGGATGGGAGGAGCGAGATCTTATACGAGCAAGGAGACCTGTGGCTCAGTGGTTAGAGCACTCGCCTCGCAAGTGAGAGGAACCCGGGTTCGATTCCCGGGCAGGGTCAGGGTGAAACGTTGGGCAAGTTTCCTTACACCGCACGCCTCTGTTTACCTAGCGGTAAGTAGGAAGCCGGTTGTTAGTTGATTGGTGGATCGTTTTCCGGGGGTAATAATCCCTTCCAAACAAATAACAATAATAATTATTTGGTCACTCAATCCACGGCTGTTTGTGGGGACGCTGCCGTGCGCAATTGGCTGCTGTGTTCGCCCACAAACTATACAGTGACTTCACTTTACAGTCTATTCTGTGAAGGGCTTTAAGACATGATTCAAATTCAAAGAGTATTATTAGGTATAAATGATGGGGTGGGGAGGGGAGAGGATGGTAAATGACAGGGATAGGAGTAATTGCTCCCTTTCTCTCATGACTGAGCACTCTCTTCCCGCAGTGGGCAGGTTCTCCAAGCGGTGAGCAGGCTGGTGCACGTGGTCTGGTCGGTGTCTTGCTCTGCATGTTCAGAAGCTCTTGTCTGATTTCTATATTAGCCGTGGGGTGGGGTGGGTGGGAGAGGGGTGAGAGGGGGAGGGCGTGAGGGGGTGGTGAATGGAGAGGACAGGCCTGAACTATTGTTTGGGCACTATTCCATCTCTAACAATGCCTGATGTAATGCGGACTCATTGCTTCCTAGGTGACGATGAGTGCCATGGACAGTGCCAGCATGGAGGGACTTGTAAGGTGAGATGCGAGTGTTGTGTGTGTGTGTTTGTGACATCGAATTAGAGTCCCATCTTACCCGTTCAGGCTAATAACAATCCCATGACATTATTGGGAAAGAACAAGGAAGATCCTCTTGGTGTCTTGCCCAACGATTCCTCCAAATTAATCACTCAATTCACCTCGTGGCTGTGTGGGTGTGGAACCTTGCTGTACGTAAAACAGTGGTCTAAAAATACCAGCCTCCACACTGCAGAGTAATTACTGTGGAGCACTTTATGATGTCTCAGTGTGATGAGGTGCTGTAGAAACCCAAGACCTTTATTTCCCTTATCAGATGTTTTTTGCGAGAGTGTGACATGTTTGTAGTAAATCGGTGCGATGTCCGTCTTTAACCTTTCAGGGGCACGAAGGACAGGGCTACAAGTGTCTGTGCCCACGTGGGTACATCGGCAGAAGCTGTGAGGTGGAAATCGATGAGTGTGCGAGCAAGCCTTGCTATAACGGTGGGCAGTGCCAAGATCTGGTCGGAGGCTTCTATTGTCGCTGTTTGCAGGGTTATTCTGGACCCCACTGTGAGGTGAGCACTATGTGTGTGTGTGTGTGTGTGTGTGTGAGTGCAGGACACAGCTGTGCACATTGACTTCGGTGTCTAGGTTAAGGGGAAGATGTCAGCCAGTGTTTTGCTTGTGATTGCTGCCTGGGAATCAGACCCCAAAAGATGCTCAGTGCTTTGAAGACTGGGTATCAAAGGCAAGACCCTGGATGTGGTTACGAAATTGGCTGAAGATAGGGAAGCAGAGGGTCGTTGTTAGGTCAAAATGGAGGGTTTGAGATGGGGGTGGGGGGGAGAGGAGGTATTAAGCGAGGTGCCTTGGGCAGTTCTGGGATTCCCTCCTGTACCTTACATGTTTTGACCTGAGTGAAGGTAATTACATTTTCAAATGATACCAACTGTAGCATCAGAAGAGGCAGCAAAGGACTTCCCACTGAGGGCCTGATAGGATACACACGTGGGCTGATGAATGGCAAATGAAGTATAATACAGATAAACATAAGGTGCTACGTATAGGAAATAAGAATAGAAGGCACATGTACTTCATCCACGGAGGGAATAGCTGAAAGAGATCCAGTAGTAAGTAGGAACCCGGTTGTTAGTCGATTGGCGGATCGCTTTTCCGGGGGGAATAATTCCTTCCAAAAGAAATAATAATAATAAATTGGTCACTTCAATCCACGACTGTTTGTGGGAAGCTGTTGTGCGCAATTGGCTGCCGTGTTTCGCCCACAAAACATACAGACAATTGACTTTACAGTTTATTCTGTGAAGCGCTTTTGAGAAGTCTCAAAGAAGTGATAAGGCGCTGTATCAAATGCAAGGATTATTATTATAGGTTATTATCTAGGGGTGTTAGTTGACTCCACAGCGATAAACAAGGCAAACAGGAGGCTGGGCTATGTTGCCAAATTAGTTGAGTTCAGAGCCCCAGAAGTCATACTTGAGCTGTATAGTCCTCTGGTCAGGCTGCACCTACAACAACAACAACTTACATAGCGCCCTCCACATAGGGTAGCGTCTCAGAGCGCACCTAAGAATACTGCGTACAGTTCTAATCACTAACTTGAGGGAACTGCCCAGACCCCAGAGGCAGTGCAGAGGAGAGCAACAAGCAAACAGCGCCTTGTCCTCCACCCAGGAGTGTGTACCTCTAGTCTACTCCACCCAGGAGTGTGTAGCTCTAGTCTACTCCTCCACCCAGGAGTGTGTAGCTCTAGTTTACTCCTCCACCCAGGAGTGTGTAGCTCTAGTTTACTCCACCCAGGAGTGTATATTCCTCCCTGACCTGACCGTGAGCTTTGTTTAATACATATTTTTAAATTGTTCTGTTTATGTGGGTCATTTTGAGGCAAATTGATTTAAAGCTGGTTTGCTCCCTCCTTCATTTGTGCAGTTATTTCTCTCTCTTTCTCTCTATATATATATATAACCTCTCCACTTGCAATCTGGTGGAGGTGAAGGAGCCTGGTGTTTGCAAGCTGTGATTTATGACAGTCATTATTGCTGCGAGCTTATCAGCCCTAATGGCTGCACCCACAAGCTGCTGCAAGCTCCCAGTTTGTCCTGTAGCTCAGCGGTTAGAGCACTCGTCTCGCAAGTGAGAGGACCTGGGTCCGATTCCTGGGCAGGGGGGGGGGCGAAACGTTGGGCAAGTTGCCTTACTCCACACGGCTCTGTTTCCCCAGCAGTCAGTAGGAACCCGGTTGTTAGTCGATTGACGGGTCCCTTTTCCGGGGGGAATAATCCCTTCAAAACAATAGATTAAAAAAATAATTTTAAAAGAATAATAATTGGTGGTCATTCAACCCACAGCTGTTTGTGGGGACAATACTGTGCGCAATTGGCTGTTGCATTTCGCTCACAAAATACACTTTACAGTATACCCTGTGAAGCGCTTTGAGACGTCTCGATGACGTGATAAGGCGCTGTGTCAAACGCGAGGATTACTATTATAATTCCTCCGACCCAGCACTAGCCAAAGGCCGTTGTGATGGTCGGGTGCAGCAGATAAATGGCCACGCTGGCAGGTTGCCCTCCTCGTGATTACAGGAAATGTATACCACCCTTCCCCAGGCACTTAAAGTGCCAGCCTCTGATCTCCCATTCGACAGAACGGGAAACCGACACTAAGAGAAGGAAACAAATGCAGAGCTGTGATACGCGAGATCTGAGGAGCAGCTCTTATTTATTTATCTTCAATTGTTTTAACAGCCGAATCCTTTCTGCTGATGGAAGTGTAATCTCAATTAAAGGTGGCTGGGTTTCCAGTGCACTCTGTCCCGTTCGTTTACTGGCTGCAGCCTTGGCTGGATGGTTTTGGATGGAGTTTTACAGCACAGAGCAGGCCATTAGACCCATCGCAGCTCTCTTGCTCTCTCTGTTCTAAGAGCTTTTCTGTCACTCCCGCCCCACCTTGCTTTATGGCCTTCAATGTTTCCGTTTCAAATCTTCATCTCGTTCCATCCCACAGTCCTGTCGCCTGGCTCTCTCCAGTGCCTCGTTCAAACCACGACTCAAGAACCTCCTCTTTGACCGCGCCTTCGGTCACCCTCCTACCCCCACCCTCCTCTCCTCCTGATCCCATCTCCCAGCTCGAGTCCAAATCCACGACTGTCCTGACGTGACCGGTGCTGTGTAAATGTTGTTCGTTGTTGTTGGATTCTGCGTTAAACCACTTTGGTACAGTGGAGTCCTTGCAGCTCAGTGGTTAGAGCATTCGCCTTGCAAGCGAGAGACCTGGGTTCGATGCCCGGCAGGTCAGGGCGAAACCTTGGGCAAGTTTCCTTACTCCACACTCCTGATAATAATCCCTCAAGAAAAAAAACACACAATAATAATTTGGTCACTTCAATCCACGACTGTTGGTGGGGACGCTGCTGTGCGCAATTGGCTGCCGCGTTTCGCCCACAAATATACAGTCAATTCACTTTACAGACTATTCTGTAAAGCGCTTTGAGACGTCGAGAAGACGTGGTGAGGCGCTATATCAAATGCAAAGCATTATTATTATTATTTGGTTATTATTTGGTACGGCATACCATTTCCTCATAACCCTCACTCTTCTACAAGAATCCTAACTTCTCCATCTTTTTGGTGATCAGCTTAAGTTGGTGGCCTCTGGCGCCCGGCTCACCGGCCAGCGGAAACCGTTCCTCGAAGGGTTAACGGCGGCTTCTGGCCTCCAAAGCCGTTCTTGGGCCCAGCAACCGGCCTCAGCTGCTGACTGACCCACAACAGCTGAGGTGCGAGGCTGCTGGCCTGGCTTTGCACAGCCTGAGGACGGAGTGTGAATTACCTTCCCTGACGCATGCTTCAAATGCAGCTGCGCTGAACCCCCTGAATCCACAGGCGTTTGTTTCCTGAGCGCAAAGGCGGTGGGGGGGCGATAGCAGTTTGGCTCAGTTACTATTGCTCTTGCTCCCGGGGTAAATAGGTTGTGGGTTTAAGCCCCGCATTGAGCTCAGTGCAGTACTGGGGGGGTGGGGGGGAGGACGGAGACACAGTATTGTCAGGTCTGCTGACCTTGTCACTCACTCCCTGACTGTTTTGCTGCCTTTGCTTACAAACATACTTGGTGTACTCTGCTTCCCGGTGGCACTGGCTTTTCTGAGCAGGATATTTCCGTAATGTCGTATCATATCATATCGAGTGCTTCAGCCCATCTCAGCCAGTGACGTCCCTGATAACGTAACCTGCCGGTCAGACCTGCTTTCCGGGATTCCATCCTCCTTGCGCCCTCCGTTTCCCTTCTAATATGTACCTCTTCCACCAGGGTCTCAGTCACCTATTTCTGACGTCTGTGTGGGCTGAGCGGGGTACGATCTGGCTCAAAATAACCAGTGTAGCTCTGCTATACGCACAGTGCCAGTCCATCATGCATGTGCGAGTTACACAATGGTTTGCAGCAGAGTCCTGTTGTGTGTGTGTTGTGTGGTGGTGTGTGGGGGCGGAGGGAGTTGCAGTGTGTGTAAGTGTGTGTGAGGGGTGTGTGTGTGCGTGTCAGTGTATGTGTCTGTGTGCTGGTAGTCGCTCCCTCATTGAAGTTGTTCATCCCAAGCCCAGTTCGCTGCTCTCTCTCCCCGCACAATCTCACGGTCTTCTGTTTCCCTTTTAAATCCAGTTACGGACTCAGTTTCAACAGATGTGTGGCGAGGCAATGACATGGATGTGTACTCGGTGCTGTAATTAGCTCGCTCAGTTGTCTAACCTATTCTTTCTCATTTCAGACGAAGATTAATTACTGTGCTCCCAGCCCTTGTCAGAATGGTGCCAAGTGCTACGTCCTTGAAAGAGATTACTACTGCGCTTGCCCAGAGGAATACGAGGGCAAAAACTGTTCATTCCTCAAGGACCACTGCAGGAACACTCCCTGCCGAGGTACAGTCCAATAGAGAAACCCATATCAGGCTCAAGGGCTTGCGAAGCAGCCCCGTGGTGTGTCTGTGTGTCTCTCGCTCTCTTACTATCTATGTACTCGTTTACATTCAACATCTCCACCTCGTGCTGCTCGAGTGAAATCGCATCCCTTTTTATAGCACAACCTCAAACTATATTCACTGACCTCGTAGTCTGACTTCCCTTCCACATCTGAGTCCTGGTGTGAATAAGAGGACGTGCGGTTAACTGGTATGTGAAGGCCTGTAGCTCAGTGGTTAGAGCACTCACCTCGCAAGCGAGAAGACCTGGATTCAGTTCCCCAGACAGGGCAAAAGATTAGGTTTCCTTACTCCACTCGCCTCGGTTTCCCCAGCAGTCAGTAGGAACCCGGTTCGTAGTTGATTGGCGGATCGCTTATCCGGGAGTAATAATCCCTTCACCAAATAAATACAATAATAATTTGGTCACTCAATCCACGACTGTTTGTGAGACACCTCTGTGCGCAATTGGCTGCCGCGTTTCGCCCACAAAACATACAGTCAATTCACTTTACAGTCTATTCCGCGAAGCACTTTGAGACGTCTCGAAGACGTGATACTGCGCTGTATCAAATGCAAGGATTATTATTATTATTATTAAGTCTCGTTCTACAATATCCTCCTTCTACCTGCTGTGCACCCTGTGTAATTCCCTTCCGTTCCCCTCTTCCTCGTCATTGAATCCTCTTTATTTACTTGCAAAAGTTTGCCTGCATTACTATCGTGATAGCACACTACTCCGGAGACGACAGCTGAGTAATTTTTAAACAATAATTTCTCTTTCGCTCCCGACAGTCAGGAGCAATCCTGACATGGAACCAGTGACATTTATAGCAGCTGCCAGGCTTTGCTTTTTGTGAGCGAAGCTAACCTTTATGGAGTTGACAGGTGCCATGTGTGGCCCAGACAAGCCACCTTTAACCCTAAGATCCTCACACTCATGTTCCAATCCCTTCACTCCCCCCTAATGACGTGGAGTCCTGCAGCTCAGTGGTTGGAGCGCTCGCCTCGCAAGCGAGAGGACCTGGGTTCGATTCCCGGGGCTGCTGTGCGCAGTTGGCTGCCGCGTTTCGCCCACAAAACGTACAGTCAGTTGACTTTACAGTGTACTCTGTCAAGCGCTTGGAGACGTCTCGGAAGAGGTGACAAACCGCTATATCAAATGCAGGTATTATTATTGATAATAATTATTATTATTGATAATAATTATTAATATTATTACTCCAATGGTGACATTTTCCTCAGGCCCCTGCAGTGCCCAACTCTACCTCTCTGCCTCCACCATCCATTACAAAACCACTACCATTCTGAATGCCTTTTGGACATCAAGTCCTCAGTGACCTATATCCTCCCCGGCCTCTGTCACCCTCATCCTTGTCAGGCTCCGTGTGGCTCTGCAGATTGACACGATTCACCTCCTTGACTATTAATTCCCTTCACTCTTGCTCCAACTGACCTCTGCCATCTCCTCCTCCTCCTCCTCCTGCTCAAGTGCTTCCCATGTTATACTGTAAGATGCAGTGACTTATTGTTTAGTGGTAGTGTACACTGAGAGCTGGCGTGAGATGTGAGAGGTGGTGATGGTGAGGGAGTGACTTGACGCTGTGTCCTTCTCTTTGTCAGTGATTGACAGCTGCACTGTGGCGGTCTCCAGCAACACCACCCGCGAGGGCACCCGCCTGATCTCCTCCAACGTGTGCGGGCCTCACGGCCAGTGCATCAGCCAGCCGGCCGGCAACTTCACCTGTGCCTGCCATCGTGGCTTCACCGGCAACTACTGCCACGAAAGTAAGTGTCACTACTCTCCGCACTCTCCCTCTCTCCCTCCGCGTTCTTCCTCTCTCCCTCCGCACTTTCCCTCTCTCCCCGCACTCCCCTCTCGCCCTCCGCACTCCCCCTCTGTCCCTCCGCATTTTCCCTCTCTCCCCGCACTTTTCCTCTCTCCCTCCGCACTCTCCCTCTCTCCCTCCGCACTCTCCCTCTCTCCCTCCGCACTCTCCCTCTATCCCCCCCACCTTGCCCCTTCCTGCCCCATCTTCAGGTCGTCCCTGAAGACCTTCCTATTCGACCAGTGCCTACAGTCACCCCCCGCCCCCCGGCCCGGCGTGGTGCTCGGTCAGTGTCGGGGGCTCCGGGGCACCGCCCTGTGTGAGGGGCGCAGTGTAAATTGTTGTTGTTTCGTGTCTGTGCTGGGTGCTTGGTTCCTCCATTCTGTTTGCCCTCCAGACAGCACCGAACCGCCTGTCCTTTTCTAACCTCCTTGTTTGCCCCCAATGCCCAACAGTCCTTCCTTTTGCTCTTGTGTAGATATCAACGACTGCGCCCGGAATCAGTGCAGGAACGGAGGGACGTGCATCGACGGAGTGGACTCCTATCAGTGCGCTTGTCCCGACGGATGGGAAGGGGAGCTCTGTGAGATCGGTGAGCAAACTAACACTCAATCGCCAGCGTGTCTGTCACCTCTGCGGCCACAGATGTGAGGGGCAAGGGAGACCCTGGGCGGGAGGGGGGTGAGTTTCGGACCCGAGCTGGGGGGAGGAGTCAGGGAGGGCGGGGGGAGGGGGAAAGCATCGAGATCGAAAGCACGGTCGAAGAGGAGGGTCTTGAGATGGGTCTTGAAGGAGGCGAGGGAGGGGGCGAAGAGGGTGGAGGGAATTCCAGAGGGCGGGGGCAGAGTGGCGGAAGGCCCGCCCGCCAATGGTTGGGGCGGGTGAGGTGGGGGACGTGAAGCAGGCCGGAGCCCACTGAGCGGAGGGAGCAAACAGGATGGTAGGGGGTTAGGAGGTCCCAAAGGTAGAGGGGAGCAAAACCGTGGAGGGCTTTTACCGGGGTGTGAGGGTGAGAGAAGGGAAGAGAGCCCCTGTGTGTGTGGGTGTGTGTGTGGGTGTGTATATTTGAGTGCCCGGTGCTGGACTTAGCATGTGAGCTACTTGCAAAGCTATTTCGAGAGAGAGCGAGCGAGAGAGAGCTTTTCCTCCAGGTTATAAACACGCTGGGTGCATTGAAGTCTAATGATGGAAGTGCAGTCACGTCAGTGTGTGCCTGGCTTTGTTGGGTGAGCTAAGGCGCGCGCGGTGGTGTTTGTAGTCACAATGCAGTCCGCACAGGAGGGACCTTACCTTTTGTTTCACTGTATGAATGAACAATGATGGGAAATGGTGGAACAAGGAGTGTGCAGACACAGAACAGCCTGTTCCTTTGGGCCTTTGTTTCCAGTCAGACCTGGAGTGCTTGGCTTAAGTCACACGGCTCCCAGTTATGGTGACGGGGCCCTTGACGATCAACGTTGCGGGTTCAAGCCCCATATTTGCAAGCGAGAGGACCCGGGTTCGATTCCCGGGCAGGGGGGCGAAACGTTGGCCAAGTTTCCACACGCGCGCCTCTGTTTACCAGCAATAAGCAGGAACCCGGTTGTTGGTCGATTGGCGGATCCCTTTTCCGGGGGTAATAATCCCTTTTAAAAAAAACGAATAATTTGGTCACTCAATCCACGGCTGTTTGTGGGGACGCTGCTGTGAGCAATTGACTGCCGCGTCTCTCCCACAAAATATACGGTCAATTTACTTTACAGTGTATCCTGCGAAGCGCTTTGAGACGTCTCGAAGACGTGATAAGGCGCTGTATCAAATGCGAGGATTATTATTATAAGACCCGTAGCCTCGGCTGACTGGAGGAACATCGAAAAAGAGGCGGCAATCTCACTAAATTGTAACCTCATCCAATGTTATTTTGCTCGGTTTGGGGTTTACTGCTCTCCTCCTCCGCTCGCGCGCTGCTCCAGTAATCGGAGAGGATTTGTACGTGGCTTTGTTGAGTAAATTGAAACCGTCTCCATGTCTACAAGCTGCCGCGCGCTTGTGTGTGTGTGTGTGTGTGTGTGTGTGTGTGTGGGTGGGGGGGGGGGGGTGGAGGTTGGGGGGAAGGGGGAGGCTGAGCCTTTAGACTGTGGTAATGTGGATGTCATGCTTTGGTTGCAGACTACAATAACTGTGATCCCAACCCCTGCCTGAACGGAGGTCGCTGTGTGGACGGAGTCAACGACTTCTACTGTGAATGCACCAACAGCTGGAAAGGGAAAACCTGCCACTCCAGTAAGTGCCACTATCTGTGCTGTTGTCTCCCCCCCCCCCGCGCCCCCCGCCCCCCCCATCCAGTCCACCACCGGGAACCAGCACCTGCTGCCTCGTTCAAGTATAGTTCACCTTTGTTCTCTGTTGCCTTGTCAACATATATGTTGTCTGTGTGTGTGTGTGTGTGTTGCTGTTGCTGCTCTCGCTCTCGTTGATCACAAGGGAAGTAACCGCTTGAACCTCAAATTCTCCTCCATCCTCCCCCAATCCCTCCCTCCCTCCCCGCCTCCCTCCCTCCCTTCCTCCTTCCCTCCCTCCCTCCCTCCCTCCGTCTCCGCGCCATTCATCCCCAAAGGAGAAGGAGTCATTCTGGCTTGCCTCTAGGTTAGGAGTTGTGGGTCGTGCACCAGAAGGCTGTGTGCTCCACAGCGCAAGTTTGGTTGGAGAGCTCACAGCTCCATCGTTGAGGTGGAGTCCTTCCTGTCTGGTTCAGGTGGACTGTAAATAAGCCTCCGCTTTATTTGAAAGAGCAGGAGTTTCTGCCGTCGTCTTGGTCATCGTTTGTCCCTCGTCGAAAACATAACTAATAATAATAATCCTTGCATTTGATATAGCGCCTGATCACGTCTTCGAGGCGTCTCAAAGCGCCTCACAAAATAGATTGTAAAGTGTAGCGACTGTGTATTTTGTGGGTGAAACGCAGCAGCCAATTGCGCACAGCGGCCTCCCCCAGACTGGTGGATTGAGCGACCAAATGATGATGATTATTTTTTGCTGTCAGAACAACTCATCGCAATAGCTGTTCACTGCATTTTGACACCCACCACGTGCTGCTTTACACGCTTCTCTGTGAGGAGCACTGGATCCAGCGGGAGTGGCGTTGACGATTTTCCTCTTTTGCAGAGGAGAAGCAGTGCGACGCAAACACCTGCAGCAACGGAGGCGTCTGTCACGACGTGGGAGACACTTTTCACTGTGTGTGTCCCACTGGTTGGGGAGGCAACACCTGCAATCTCGGTGAGTTCATCGGGTTTCCTGTCCCACACGTCCTTCCCAGAGCAGCTATTCCTTGTCCCCTCCGTCCTTCGCCTCCAGAGATGAACAGACCATTTTGGAGACACGGCGGGACAGAAATGCACCTTCTCTCAGGGCAGTCGGAGGTGGGAAGCCTGGCTGATTCTCTCGCCCCGAAAGCCCTGAGGTGCTGGAGGGTGGCTCACTCGGCACAGACCCTGGAACAGGTTAGCTGTTCACATGGGAACGCCGGGAACTATTGAGGGAGACTCGATACTTTGAGGGGGAGTTAAAACTCAACTCTAACCCGCCGTTGAAAGGCAATGGAAACGGTGTGTGTATGTGTTTGTGGTGTGTGTGGTGTGCGTGTGTGGTGTGTTTGTGGTGTGCATAGGTGTGTGGTGTGCGCGCGTGTGTGTGTGTGTGTGGGGGGCATGTGTGGCGCTTTTACAAACCAATGCTAATCCTGTTTGGGGACGGGCCTGGGGTGGGGAGGAGAGACTGAACTCGCAAGTATTTATTTTGAACGGAACAAACTTTTCTCTCCCTGTGTTCCAGCTAAAAGCAGCAGCTGTGCCCCCAACCCCTGCCAGAACGGGGGCACCTGTGTGGGGAGCGGTGACACCTTTACCTGCGTGTGCAAAGAGGGGTGGGAGGGCCCGAGTTGCACCCAGAGTAAGTGCAGATGGCAGTTTAAACTCTCTGTATCTTTTAGGTGACTGTTTGTAGGGCAATGGGCTTATCGGTGGAGCCAGTTCTGGTCTTGTTTCTGATAGTTTCAGCCTTCTAATTCCCTTACAACCTTATTTATCGCTGTGTTTAACCTCACTATTTAGTCCTGTAGCTCAGTGGTTAGAGCAAGCAAGGGGACCTGGGTTCGATTCCCGGGCAGGGCGAAACTTTGGGCAAGTTTCCTTACTCCACACGCCTCTGTTTACCCAACAGTAAGTAGGAACCCGGTTGTTAGTCGATTGGCAGATCACTTTTCCGGAGGTAATAATCTCTTAAAAATAATTTGGTCGCTCAATTCACGACTGGTTGTGGGCACGCTGCTGTGCGCAATTGGCAGCTGCGTTTCGCCCACAAAATCCACAGTCACTTCACTTTACGGTATATTCTGTGAAGCGCTTTGAAACATCTTGAAGACGTGATAAGGCGCTGTATCAAGTGCAAGGATGATTACTGTTGCACAAGTTAAAATAACTTTGTCCTGGGTCTCCTGAGGGGGAGCGGGGGCTGTATTCAAAGACATTGGGATGTCCCCCCTGACATGAAAGGTGCTATAAGAAAGGTGCAAAATATATCATTTTGAAGCATTAAAAATCTATATTTTTTGTTTTAATCACAGATAAGAACGACTGCAACCCTCACCCCTGGTAAGTTACAGTTTCGCTGATCGGAACACAAGCCCCTGGACCCCCTCCTCCCCTCCCCACCCCTAGATGTGCCGTGACATCCGATGACATTCTCCCCCGTTCCGTTCCGATTATCTCTGGTGGGAAAATGAGTCAGTGAGCAGCAGCGAGAGGACTGTGATGATGATGATGACGCTGCTGTATGCTATGTGTTGTCGGGACACTGACCTATGTCTCCTCTCACTCCAGCGCTGACCTGACCCAGGTCACTCTGAAGCGTCTGGGCTGTCTCGGTGCCAGACGTCGTACTGTTTTTCTCACACGGCGGATTTATTCTGTCCAACAAACTCGTCGCGTAAAAGCAGCCACGACATCAACCCGCCTTAACAAACAGCTTCCAGCGCACCTGTAGCCGAGAGAGCACGAAAACCCAGAGCAGATAATGACACTGCTTTTGCCCCTGGTGAAAGGTCTAATTGCCTGGGATCAAATGAGGTGTTGGAGTGGGGAGGGACGCGGTTGATGAAGGGAACTGTTTGTTTAAAAGGGAGCAGTGCGGGTGGGGGGATGGAAAGGGATCTGCAACTCTTCCCCCCACCCCCCTACCCCTCTCTGTTCTCCACATTGTTTCTCAAGTGAGAAAAATCTGCCCGTGACACTTGGAATCTGCATTTGAAGGCCGACTGACTGTTCAAAGCCACAAACCTGGCCTTTGTCCCAGCCCAGGGCTCAGCTGTGGGTTTTGTTGACTGTACCTACAGCCCACTTGTTCCTAACCGGGGGGTGTGTGTGTGTGTTTTCTTTACGCAGCTACAATGGAGGCATCTGTGTGGACGGCGTGAACTGGTTTCGGTGCGAGTGCGCGCCAGGTTTCGCTGGTCCAGACTGCAGAATCAGTAAGATAATAGTAATAATAACAATGATGGCGATGATAATAATCCTGCCGTTTGATCCAGCGCCTTATCACGTCTTCGAGACGTCTCAAAGCGCTTCTCGGGATACACTGAAAGCGAATTGACTGTGTATTTTGTGGGCGAAAAGAGTATAAGAGGATAGCGAGTGACTGGCTGGCCTGGGGTCAGGCCGTTCTGACCCCCGGCTCTTTTTGTGGCAGTTGACCTGTAACCTGTGGTGCACTCAGCTGATTCACCTCCTCGAAAGAGGCACCACCACATTGAATAATTCATGCGCTCGGAGAAATCCCTGCCCACCTCCACAGGGGCTCTGCCACCCCCCCCCCGACAGGAGGCTTCTGCTTTCAGAGAGAGTTTACTCTGACCCTTCTTTGTGTGTTAAATGGTTTGAATTTGAAATTTTTTCAATCAGGATACATATGTGTTAGGTCAGGGTATATATTTGTTAGGTCAGGGTTTATATTTGTTATGTAAGGTTATATATTTGTTAGATAAGGGTATATATTTGTTAGATAGGGTATATATTTGCTCAGTGTTGTGTTGCTCTCTGCCTTTACTCCCTGCTCTTTACATAGAAACAGGAGGAGGCCATTCAGCCCTTTATTATTCTATTATTATTATTATTATTATTTATTATTCTATAAGATCATGGCTGATCTGTACCTCAACTCCAATTACCCCCCTTTGCCCTATATCCCCTGATACCCTGATCTAACAGACATCTGCCCACCTCAGTCTTGAAGATGTGAATGGCTCCAGCTATAATCCACAGGCTTCTGGGGAGTGAGAGAGGGAGAGAGAGAGAGAGGGAGGGAAAGAGGGAGAGAGAGAGAGAGGGGGAGAGAGTGAGTTCCAGATTCCCACTAACCCTCCTAATTTCCCTCCAAAATGGCCTGGCCCTAATTCGAGACGTCTCAAAGCGCTTCACAGGACATACTGTAAAGTGAATTGACTGTATTCTGTGAGCGAAATAACATGGAAATAAAAAAACTGCTTAGAGGAGAGAAGGGAGTTCACGTGAGCGTTCTCTAAGGAGGTTGTTTACCACAGAGCTAAGGATGCCCTGAAGTGGCTGTAGCCGGGCTCGGTAATTAGCTGCACGAGGAACAAGTGGCTCTCTTCAGCTTTCAGTCCTCTCTTCCTGCCTTGATTATAACTGTTTCTCCTCTCTCTCTCAGACATCGATGAATGCCAGTCGTCCCCTTGTGCCTATGGTGCCACTTGTGTGGACGAGATCAATGGGTACAGGTGCCTCTGCCCGCCCGGGAGAGCCAGCTCCAGATGCCAGGAAGGTAGCTATCGCCAATCCCTTGTGATGTTGAGCGAGGGTGATCCGGGTGCGAGACAATGGAGTCGTGCTTCCAGTTTAATCACCGCTGCACGTTTCCTAAACTAACTAAAGACTCTGTTTGGCTGTTTTTTTCCCCTCTTCCTCCTGGAATCCTAGAATTCGACAGCACAGAAGGAGGCCATTCGGCCCCTTGTGCCTCGGTGGGGAGGGGGGTGGGTGGGCGTTCCCTAAAAGAGCTATATGCTTAGTCCCACTGCCCTCTCAACACCCCGCACCCCCACCCTGCCCCCCACACACAAACAACTGTTATTGTGTGTCTTTCAGGTCGGGATGTCCTCCTGACGTGAAAGGCGCTGTACAAATGTAATTCTGTGTGGTATTGTATTGTAGATTCTGCTTCAACCAGTGTTTTTATGTGGGCATTTCATGTCCCAATGGGCTCTCAGTCCAAATAAAATCCTAACTTCCGTATTTTTGATGATCTTAAGTCGATGTCCTCTAGAAACTGACTCCCCAACCCACGGAAATACTATTGCTCATTTACCTCATCAGAACTTTGACCACCAAACAGATCACCCCTTTGAGCTTCTCCGTCCAGTTTCTCTAGTCCCTCCTTGTAAGGGAAGCCCCCGATCCCAGAAACTTCCAGCGAATCTCCTCTGTACTTTCTCCTTGACCTTGATCCCCCTCCCCCCCCACCCCCACTCCTCCTCCCAATCCAGTCTTCACCTGACACCCAAGACTTTACCCCCAGATAGTGTTGAGGAGCAGGAATTCTGGCTGTTTTTTCCCCAGTTCTCCCAAGAGCTCTCTCTCTCTCTCTCTCTCTCTCTCTCTCTCTCTCTTTCTCTCCCCCAATGTTCCCCTGTGTCGTCGTGTTGGGAATAGTTGTGGTATTTTCCATATACTATTCCAGGAAGTGGCAGCCCCTGACAACAACAACAACAACAACAACAAGATTCCATTTATAGAGCGCCTTTCACGTCAGGAGGACGTCCCAAGGCGCTGCACAGTTGGGTCATGACCCGAGCAGGGGGGAAATGGTCAGGGTGAGGGGAGGAAAGGGAGGGAGAGAGGAGGGGGGAAATGGTCAGGGTGAGGGGAGGGAAGGGTGCGAGGAAGGGGTAGAGATTCGAGAGGGGAGCTGAAGGCTGAAGGTCAAAGAGAAAGGTCTTGAGACCGGCCTTGAAGGAGGAAAGGGAGGAAGCGGCGAAGGCACTGGGGGATGGAGTTCCAGAGCCTCGGGGCTGAGAGGCTGAAGGCCTGACAGTAACGCACGGAGAATTTTTGGATCAAATGCGCATTGGAGAAGCTTCCCCTGGGAGATAGCTCCATTCTTACAATCAAATCTGCTTTGTCGTTGGCTCAGACTCTAGTTTAGACCTAATGCATTCCCCGTCAACTCCTGCAGCTTTCAGTCTCAGTGTTCGTACTCTCCGAGGTGATCCAAGTGATGCTTACGATATCCCTCTGGTGGTGTAGGGAGCTTTTCTCTGCGTAGAATCTAACTCCCTGTTCTACCTGAAACACAAACAGAAGTGGCTGGGAACATTCAGCGGGTCGGGCAGCATCTATGGAGAGAGGAAAGTGGGTTAACGAAAGGTCATCGACCTGAAACGGTGACCCACTTTCCTCTCTCCATAGATGCCGCCTGACCCGCTGAGCGTTCCCAGCGATCTGCTGCTCTTACTTCAGCTTTCCAGCATCCGCAGTGTTTTGCCCCCTGTTCTAAGCTGATCTGTGGGGTGGGAGGATAGCCGGGTCGGGAGGGCTTGGGCGCCCCACACTTTGCGGCTTAGTCAGGGCTGACGGGAGGCCGTCAGGCGGAGCTAAGTGTTTGCTGTTTTCTTGCAGTCGTTGGTTTTCGGAAGTCGTGCTTCATGTCGGGACAGCATTATCCTCACGGAATCCATTGGGAGCAAGACTGTAACAGCTGCCGCTGTCTGAACGGCAACGTGAGCTGCACCAAGGTAATGAGAGCTTCTCCCTCCAGCCAATTCCCTCTCCCCTGAGCCCTGCTGTCACACACCAACCCAGCACCGCTCCCCCACCCCCGAGCTGCCAGCCAGCTCCCAGCCCACGCATTCCTGGCCCAAAAGCTGCCAGAAGCTTCTCGTAGAGTCCTGTAGCTCGGTGGTTAGAGCACTGGCCTCGCGAGCAACAGGACCTGGGTTCGATTCCCAGGCAGGGGGCGAAACGTTGGGCAAGTTTCCTTACTCCACACACCTCTGTTTACCGGGCAGTGAACAGGAACCTGGTTGTTAGTCTCGATTGCTTTTTGGGGGGTAATAATCCCTTCAAAAAAATAATATAAACAATAATAATTTGGTTACTTCAATCCACGACTGTTTGTGGGGACACTGCTGTGCGCAATTGGCTGCCGCGTTTCGCCCACAAATATATACAGTCACCGCACTTGACAGTATATCCTGTGAAGCGCTTCGAGCCGTCTCGAAGCTGCGATAAGGCGCTGTATCAAATGCAAGGGTTATTCCAAGCTGCAGTCGAGGGGCCGAATAATAATAATAATAATAATCCTTGCATTTGATATAGTGCTTTTCACATCGGGAGGACGTCCCAAAGCGCTTCACAGAACACACTGTAAAGTGAATTGACTGTATATTTGTGGGCGAACGCGGCAGCCAATTGCGCACAGCAATGTCCCACAAACAGTCATAGATTGAAAATGACCAATTTATTATTGTTTTGGGTTTTGGAGGGATTATTATTAGGCTCTGTGTGGAGTAAGGAAACTTGCCCGAGGTTTCGCCCTGTGCCTGGAATTGAACTCAGGTCTCTCACTTGCAAAGCGAGTGCTCAATCATTGAGCTACAGGACTCCCCCTTGTAATGGCCCCCTTGTGCTTGTCATTTGTTTCTCTGGTCCTTCAGAGCCTGTTGCAAGTGCACAATGTACAGAGAAGCTGGAATAAAGTGTTCTGTTAGCTCCATTAGTCAATGTTCGCGCTTGCCAGCCCCAATCCAGCCATTCATTGCCTGAACTTTGATGACCTGTTAATGTGGCTCTGACTGTTTGGGAGCGAGCGAGGGAGTTCTGCATGTACCTGCCTCCTCTCAGCTTTTGTCCAATCTGTTATTTTTTCTCTCTCGCTCTCTCTTCTTTCCACCGACTAGTAAACAAACCTTTGAATCAATTGTTGAGGCGTGTTTCTGCAAGACCTGGGAGGCTTTGCTGTGTGCCTCGCTGTCCATGCTGAGCACCCCCCACGATAACACTCAGTCTGTGTGTAAATGCTGACTGAGTTCTGTTGTTCGTTCCGCATCAGACCAGCAATTCACGTCGAGAATCCCAGGAACTCTCTGCTTCTGTCTCTGGCTTTATCTTTACCACATGAGAACGAGGGTCTTGTCTTTAACTTGACGTCGATCACGAGAACAGTTTTGGATGATTGATCTCGTCGTTGGGTCTCCTAATCCGCACGTTCGATATACTGTCTCGTGTCAGTCATCAAGAAGTTTCAAACTGCTTCACGAGATCCACCGTGAAGTGGGGTGACTGTGTTTTGTGGGCAAATGCTGCAGCCAATTTGTGAGAGATTGATTTGGAGTCCCATTGACTTGCTCAAATGAATTTTAAGTCCCTATTAGATTATAATGGATTTACCACGTATAATAAATTCAGGGCCTCCTCTTGTCACTGATTCCCTGGTTGACCAAGTAAAGCAAAGTTGCTTGTGTGCTGTGTGGTGTGTATGTGTGTGGTGTGTATGTGTGGTGTGTGGTATGTATGTATGTGTGTGTGTGTGTGTGTGTGTGGTGGGTATGTGTGTGTGTGTGTGTGTGGTGGGTATGTGTGTGTATGTATGTGTGTGGTGGGTATGTGTGTGGTGGGTGGTGTGTATGTGTGCTGTGTGTGTTGTGTGCTGTGTATGTGTGTGTGGTGTATATGTGTGTTGTGTGTATGTCTGTGGCTCAAGTGGCTGAGTTTGCTACGAATCCACAGTTCTTTTTGTTGTCCTTCAGTCAACACAAGCAGCTGATGCTCTGGCTGCCGTATCAAATCCACGGGTTGGATTTAATACTCATTTAAGTTTCACATGGCTGAGAAATGCACAGGCCACATCCTTCCCCTGACTGCCTGTGATGTTTGTAAATGTTCCTGTAGGTTTGGTGTGGCCAGAAGTCGTGTGTGCTGCCCGGCAGACCAGGCTACAAGAGCTTCCAGTGCCCAGAGGCTCAACGATGCCAAGCCAGCCCCGCCACCAAGTGCTTCTCTCCCCCCTGCAGTGACTGGGGCATCTGCAATGCCCCGAATACCATGGCTGTCAGCTCCAAGTGTCAGCCCAACATGGCTCGTCTGGACAGCAACTGTGCCAAGATTACACTCCTCTTCAACAGAGCCAAGATGCCAGAGGTAAATGCTGTGACCTGTGCGTGTGTGTGGTGTGTATGTTGTCTGTGGTGTGTATGTTGTGATGTGTGTTGTGTATGTGTGTTGTGGTGTGTGTTGTGTGTGGTGTATGTGTGTTGCGGTGTGTGGTGTATGTGTGTTTGTTGTGTGTGTTGTGTATTTGTGTTGTGTGTGGTGTGTGTTATGTGTGTTGTGCATGTGTGTTATTGTGTGGTGTGTATGTATGTTGTGTATGGTGTGTATGTGTGGAGCAGATCAGATGTGCTCAATGTTTAATAAATACCGTGGATGAATAGAGAGTGATGGAGCGAGACCTGCACTTATCGTTGCTTAGGCCACAGTTTCCGTCTCTCTCTGTGGATACTGGATCCAGTCACATTTTTAAGACCGAGATGTATAGATATTTGTCGGGTCAGGGTACCAGGGGAGGTGGGGCGAGGGCGGGTAATTGGAGTTGAGGTACAGATCAGCCATGGTCTCATAAAATGACGGAACAGGTTCGAGGGGCTGAATGGCCTCCTCCTGTTCCTACGGCTGTCCCAGGATTTTAAGGACACAAAATTCCAAACCTAACCCAATCCATAATGACTTTTAAAAGGGAATAAGACACAAAGGAACAATATAAATGGAGTGTGTGGCGCGGGGTGGGGGCAGGGATGGGACTAAATAGCTCGCTCTTTCAGTATGCTGCATCGCTTGCCGCTGCATCGCTTGCTCCAGTGCTATATAAAATCTTATCTGGTGAGTTTCTTGTTGAAATGCAAGGGTATGGATAGAGCGTGAGCTGACGTGAGCTCAGGAGCCCAGTGATACTCGCCTCTGGCTCAGTTAGTCGGGAACCAGAGGGAGTATGCTTAAGACGATTCCCCAGAAGATTTAGAAGTTAGAATAATACATTTAATATTAAAATTAATGCTTAATTCAATGTTAACTGCTGTGCGCAATCGGCTGCCGCGTTTCGCCCACAAATTACACGGTCGATTCACTTTACAGTGTATCCTGTGAAGCGCTTTGAGGCGTCTCGAAGACGTGATAAGGCGCTGTATCAAATGCCAGGATTATTTTTGTTATTATTTATACAGCGCCTTTCCTTTCACGTCAGGAGAACGTCTGAAAGCTATAACATCGTGGGGTGGTGTTTTGTTATACAGTGTGTTAACCAAACGTAAGCAGGGAATTTCTCTACCACCAACTCGAGTCGAGGAGAGCTATTACAGAATACAACAAGTTGTGTTCACGCAGCTCCCCCTCACACAGGGTAGCGCCCCGGAGCGCCCGACGGTGGCGGGACACGACTCTGAGCCGGTGAGGGGAGGGGGAAGGTGACCTTTAGCCACGGTCGAAGAGGAAGGTCTTCAGACCGTGCGATCTGAAGATGGGGAAGGAAGGAAGTGGGGAGGATGGGGAGATAGCACTCCAGAGTTTCGGGGGGCGCAGGAGGAGCGAGCAGGAGCGTGGGATGAGATGAGGTCTAGAGAATCGGCCCCTAACTCCCACCCCAAAAACCGAGTGGACTTGATGCTCCTGTTACCGGTGCGATCGGGTGTTGGGACGGTGGTAAGCTCTGGTGTTGCCTTGCTCCCCGGTTGACGTGTTGGCTCCTTGTTCCCCAGGGCATCACCGTGGAATACATTTGCTCCGAGCTGAGGTACCTCCCAGTCCTGCACCACCTAGCTCAGCAGCGCAGACTCTATGTGCTGTGCGACCTGGCCAACACCATCGACAGTGCGGTGGAGGTGGCCATAGTGAGTAACTGGCTTTCAAGTGATCACCGGGGGCGGAGTGGGGGGGGGGGGAACTGCCGTTTAGCTTAATGTTGGGGGTCCCGGGGTGATCGTCTGGGGGTGCAGTTAGTATTCTGCAGCGAATGTACCTTCACCCTCTGCGCCCCCCCCCACACACACACACACACACACATATACGCACCCCCCCACCCACACACACACCCCCACATCTCCCGATCCCCATTTACCAAACAGCCTCACCCCCCACTCACACACACAAACACACACACACCCACAGCCCCGTGTGCACACAGCCTCACACACATAGCCCCAACCCCACACACACACACAGTCCCAACACCCCCCACACGTACAGCTCCCCCACGCACACTCTTGAGTTCAGTTTGTGCTCCCTCTGCTCAGCGGGCTCCGGCCTTCTCCACATTCCCCGCCCGACCCGCCCCGGCCGGGCCTTCAGCCTCTCTGCCCCCACCCTTCGGAAGTCCATTCCACAGTCCCTCCGCCTCACGCCCTCCCTTGCCCCCTTCAAGGCCCATCTCCTCTTCGACCGGGTCTTCGGTCACCCTCCTACCCCCCACCCGCCCCCCACCCTTCCTGCCCTCTACCCCCTCCTGATCCCAAACCCCAGCTCAGGTCCAAATCCCTGAGTGTCCAGCGCCTTGGGATGTCCTTCCGATGTGAAAGGCGCCGTGTAAATGTCATGCGTTGTTGTTCCGAGGCCATGTTGTCGCTGAGTTGCCTTCTGTTGTCCTCGTTGAGTCTTGTGATCAATGTGTGCGTGTGTTTTTTAACCCCTCGCTCTCCAGTCCTTCGGGGGCCAGCCGAGCAAGGAGCCGGACGACACTCTGATCCGGGAGGTGGCCAAGAGCATCGTCAGCACCATCACCTCCCGGCAGAACAGCACCGTGATGCTGGCCGTCATCGAGGTCAAGATAGAGACTGTCGTCCTTCCACCTTCCCAGCCAGGTAACATGGCTTCCCAGCACTGCAGCCTGGGGTGGCGGTGTGTCCGGGGGGGACGCGGGCGGGGGGGCTGGGCAGAGAGGCCATGAGGGTGTTGTGGTGCCAGTGGGAGTGAGAGGAACTAGCACGAGAGGAAGTGCAGAGCAGGTGGATAGAGATGGTTCTCCCGCTCAGTCCTCCTCCTGATAAATGGCTCGTTCACTTCACGACTGTCCATGTCAGACTTCGCTCGGAGCAGAATGTCTTGTCGGCCGCCTTCTCCTGGAGAGTGAGTGGCCCTGGCACTGTGTGGCACCTGACGGCAGTGAAGGGCCTTGAGGTACTTTGACGTTCCTGGGCATTCGATCAAGTACAGGGACCACCCGCTGGCTCCCCTCGGTTGGCTCCGGTCTCCCGTCTGTCCCTCGCGCCCTGCCCTCCACCATCGCCTTCAGTCACTGCGCCCCGAAGCTCTGGAACGCTCCTCCTCAATCCCTCCGTCTCGCCCCCTTCCCTCTCTCCCCGCCTTCAACTCCCGCCTAAAGTCCTTCCTCTCTTGATGGCGCTTACAGTCACCTTCCCTGCTCTCCTCCCCACCCACCCCCCCCAAGGCTTGGGCTCAGACTCCGCCAAGGTCAAGTGCTCAGGGAGGATACCTCGCGCAAAGGGCGCTGTATTGTCGATTAACTTCTAAGTACATGATTTACAGCTGAAACTGTTTGCCCCCCCCACGCATACAGGGTACTTTGTTCCTTTGCTCTGTGTGTCCTTCGGCACAGTCTGGCTGATCTGCATCATCATCTGCGTGTGGTGGACCCGGAAACGGAGGAAAGAGCGCGAGAGAAGCCGTCCGCCCATCGAGGAGACCGTCAACAATCAGTGGGAGCCCCTCAACCCCATCAGGAACCCTATAGACAGGGGCTGCAGCAATAAAGACATTCAGTGCGAATGCAAAAATTTAATGGCTCCTCACAACAGGACTCTGGAGGGCGAGGAAGGAGAGGAAGAGGAGGAAGAGGAAGAGGAGGAAGGAGAGGAGCCAGGAATGGACAAACGCCCCTCCCAGCGCTGCACAATTACCTTTTTGCCAGCGAAAGGAGACTCCAGCTCAGTCCGCAACAGCGTTCCCGTCAAACAGCCCCACCGGACAGGCAAGAGAGACAACCGGTACTTCAAAAATGTGAACGCTGTGTATCATGAAGGAGGTAAGGACTTGTCAGTATGAGCGGGAGGAGGGGCGGGATGTGGGGGTGGGTGGTGGGGGGGAGAGAGTGTTTGTGCCTACAGTATACAACACGGGGGAGAGGAGAGCGGTGGGGGGGGAGGGAAGGGGAAAGGGGGGGGGAGAGAGAATGTCTGCCATGCCTCCAAGTCCCACTCACGCTGACGTCCGTCAGATGCCTTCACGGTGTGCGCCCACTGGGCAGCAGTTTCTAGCGTCTCCTTAACTAAACCTTGTCTAACTTATTTGTCTCTGTACGAGGCCTGGGCAGTGTCGTACGTCATCAGAACCGGTGGTGACTACACACTGCGGTGGGGGAAGTGGGGGTGGGGGGGTGGGGAGGTGTCTGTGGGGGGTGGGGGGGGGGCGCGGGCAAGGGCGCGGGCAAGGGCAGGGCAGGACTTCGAGGTGACTTCTCTATCGCTATAATAGTATGCTGAACTGTACATATTATACATAATACAGAAGTTATCTCCTACGGTTTAAAGGAAAAGAAAAAACAAGTTGTTTACAAAGTTTCTCTTGTGGTGTTGTGTGTTTAGTGGCTTAGATCCCTCTGTTGTCTGGAGTCCTCCTGGCTGAGGATACGTGTAACCTTGACCAGAGTTTTGACCTGTTCTGTTCTTCTCCTCCATCCCTCCCCCCCACCCAACTTCCGCCCCCCCCCCCCCCAACACTCACTCCGCCACGGCAGCTCACTCATCGCACTTGTTACCACTTCCTGCTGAGGGTTTTTAGTGTTTGGGGTGCGCGGGGCGGGGCGGGGCGGGGGTAGGCGAGGTGCAAGGACAGAGGTCCGTGGGATAAAATATTATCCGTGGAAATACTGGACACAAAGGGAACGGTTTTTTTCCCCCCCCCCCAAGCCGTAATCGTAGGCTTGGTTGGTTGGCGGGTGGGGGGGGGGTGGGGGGGCTGGTGAGCTGCCGATAGCGTCTCCAGCGATATTAACGCAAACACTAAGGATCGGAAAGACTTTATAAAAGGGCAACGCGAAAACGAAAGGCGTTTTCAATCCCCACGGTTTTCTTTTTTAAAAAGGGGGGGGTGGGGGTGGCGGGGTGGGGTGGGGGGTGCGGAGGGCGAGAGAAAAAAAACACTATCTAGCTTTGAATGGTCACAGTATTGAAGCTTGTAGCAAGTGCCTTGGGATTAAATTACTACAGCAACTGTCGTGAGAATGTCCTGCTGATTAATTTTATTACTGAGTGAAAGGAGAACCATGTATCCTCCTTTACTGGTTAAACAAATAAAAAAAAAGATTGTATGATCGGAGCAGTTTTGTATATATGTACATATTTTACGGAATCGCTGTGTATATTGGATTTAATAACTTAAGTTTTTCTTTGTTAAAAATGCCATTCCTTAATTTATGTTAAAGAAAGGGAATTTTTTTTATATGGCATCGCACGCATATACACGCACGCACGCACGCACGGCCGTGTACAATCGAGGCAGAGATACGTACACACGTTCACGCAAGCAACGCACACACACACACGTACGTGCGTGCGCGCGCACCCACACTTACAAGCAATGCAGAGAGAAACATACACATAATCACCCACGCATGCATTCACGTACACACAAACAAGCAACGCATTGGGCTTGTACACGGGCACGCATGCACGCGCACACACACACGCTCGCACACATGCACATATACACACACACACGTTACAACACTCCTTTATGCTGAAAGGGTGGTTTTTATGGCATCTTGCAGCCTCTATCCTTTCGCTTGCGACTTCTGTAGGAAGTTTTTCTCTCCTGATGCTCAGCTTGACGATGTATTTGATTTGGATTCAACCAAACAAACCTGTAAATAGCCTGACTTTTTTGTGATTGATTCCCCCCTCCTTTACACCCCCCACCCCCACCCCCACTGTTACATAGCGTTCAATGTTGACCCAACAATGTTCAGAACGGTCGGCGTTAGAGGTAATGAGAGAGCTGGGAGGAGATCTGTCCTCTCCTTCTTCCCCCCACCACTCCCCGCTCCCCCACACACCCCTCCTCCCATGTAGGAAAGAATTTCTCGTTTGGACAGAGAGATGAATGAAGGGAACAATTAAACCATTTCTGTCCTCTGTAGGATTTGGTAGGTTAATGGAAAATTAAATGGAATACCTCAAGAGCTGGTTGTGAATATATTCTACCCTGCCACACATTAACCTGACCCCAAAGAACCTTCTCCCCTTCCAACAAAATTATAAGTGAGAAAATTGACTTATAAATAAATAAGTAAAAATAATAATTTGGTCACTTCAATCCACGGCTGTTTGTGGGGACGCTGCTGTGTGCAATTGGCTGCCGCGTTTCGCCCACAAAATACACAGTCAATTGGCTTTACAGCGTATCCTGTGAAGCGCAAGGATTATTATTATTATTATTATTATTATTGTTATTACTACAAACCTGAGATGCTCCCAGTTTCCTCGCCTCGCTGTCAGGTTGACGTGTTCCAGGGTGTATATGTATTTCTAAATATATATATATATTAAAACCATATTACAAATATATCGGCTTTTTGCTTCGTTTTGATATCTGATACCTAGTGAGCAAACCTGTGAGTTTCTTTTGTTTTTTTTTGGATGACGGCAACGACAAAAAAAAGCCTTACCTGAAATTGCCGGCCAGGGCTCAGCTCTCAAACCTACCCACAGCACCACAGGGCACGACGTCTCGTCTGAAGAAACCAGACGAAGACTCTAACCAAATAAAAGAGCTGGCGGATTAAACAATGTCAGCGGAGTTGACTGTGCGGAGCCCGAGTAAAGCTGTCGGGTGTTTTTTTTTTCTACGCAGGGACACTAAAGCGTTAACCCTTTGCAAAGCCCTCTGTTCATTAGTGCATTTTGTTTGACATGTTCTTTACGAAACTTTCAAAATAACTATTTATTAAAGCGTTTTATATCAACGTTCCCCATCATCTCCTGACTCTCTTTTGTTTTTGACCTGAGGCGGGTGTGGAACAAGAGCTCGCACTTGCGTAACTGCCTTTCAGGCTGGAATCGTGTCTCGCGCCTCTTTCCAGGTGCCGGGAGAGACTCCAGTCACCGCAGGCACGGTCGAAGAGGTGGGCTATAAAGTGGGGGGGGGGGGGGGGGCTTGAGAGGGAGCGAGACAAGGGGGGGATCGAGAGAGGGGTGTGTGGCAATTAACAGATGGATCGGGGTTCGCACGGAGGTTGGTGGGGCCCAGGACACTGGGACTTCTCTCTCGGCTGTGGAAGATGTTGGGATGAGACTGAACGGCCGAGATGAACGGGGCGAGGAGTGAACCTTCCCTCAGACTCTGGGACGGGAACCTGTACATCCCGATAACACAATCCAACTCCCATCGGATCCATCAATCCTTTCCCTTCACGTTGCACAGCGGGAGGCTTGCCCAGCGCGGGGACCTTGGCTGGCTTTGGGCAGTGGTCTGCTCTGGCACCTGGCTGTGTAGCCGGCTTTCAGACAGACTCGAGTCCCTGGGGTTTGAACCCCTCGACGTGGGCTGCCACAAGCTGCTGGTGACCATGTTCTCTGGCTGTCCCACAACTGCTCAGACAGCTGCCACCACCAGGATCCACGCAAGAGTTTCATGTAACCCCTTCCAAGAGCCATTTGTCTGCGATCAGTGGTGGGTCTGTGTTCTCCCACCGGCCACCGATCGAGCCAGAGCCCAGAGTCGCTCATCCTCCTAATCCTCCAGATAAACCGGTCGTTCACCTCGTGGCTGTTTGCGGGACCCGCTGTGCCCACACCCACTGCCGTGTGTGACCTGCACGTACACGACCGCCAAGCCGTGTGAATTCCGTGTGACGTGTTTTGACGCGGCCGGTGGCTGCCGTATCGAGGGCAGGTCGTCCCTTATTCAGGAATGTTGGTGGCGCGAGCGGCAGTTCCCTGGGGACGGCGCTCCAGGCTGAGCTCCCCGGCTGCTGCTTGATTCAGTTGCGTTAGATGTGCTACGAAGAGAGGAAGAGATGGCACTAATTCAGTCTGGAATGTTTAATACACCCCGTCATCCCTGAGCTGAGGACAGGACTGTAATCCCCCTCCCTCTCCCACTCCGCGCGCCCCCCCCCCCTACACACACACACACACACACTCCCTCCCGCTCTGCCACCAGGTATTGTTCTTCTAAAAAGGAGTCCGCTACAGGCGTGTGGGGGATGGACAGGCAAGTGCGACTGAAATAACTGCTCCTCACAAGAGCAGCACTCTATGGGCAGAGGGGCCTTTTGCGGAGTAAAGCTTTGCGCCTCTGTGGCTGGGGTCACACGTGAAAAACATGGTCACAAGGCGAGACCTAATAGAGTCCCAGAACGTGTGACGGAAATTGCCCCTCCCCACAGGGAACGTGGAGAGGGAAGGAGTTAGCCGCGCACACATGGACAAGCCTTGCTCCCCCCCCCCCCGTACCTCTGTGACCTCCTAACCACCTACTAACCTGCCCGCTCCCTCTGCTTCACGTCCCTCGCCTCGCCCGCCCCAACCATCGGCGGGCGGGCCTTCAGCCACTCTGCCCTCAACCTCTGGAACTCCATCCCGCAGTCCCTCCGCCTCGCCCCCTCCCTTGCCTTCTTCAAGACCCTTGTCTTCGACCGCGCTGTCGGTCTCCCTCCTACCCCTACCCTCCCTGCCCTCCATCCCTCCTGATGCCAACCACCAGCTCGGGTCAGATCCAAGCTTCTGATCATCACCTGGAGTATTAAACATAACTGACCATGTTCCTGTTTCTAATCTGCCTGGAGAGAACACAAGAGCACATTCTAGTCGTTGAGAAGAACCTCAGTCTCTCCGCACACTAACAATCAGCTCTGATGCCACACACAGAGGATATAAGGCGCCAGCCATCCATTCCCCCAGGATTATTGTCTGACTCTGACTCGCCTAAAATAATCATTACAGCCCCTTATCGCATCTCAAAAGAGCTTCACGGAACTTACCGTAAAGTCTAGTGAATTGGTGAATGGAATATTATACTATATATATATAACATTTTATATATATAACA